CTTTAGATGGGTATCACAAATCTTTAAATGGGTATGACGGATCTTTAGATGGGTATGGCGGATCTTTAAATGGGTAAGACGAATCTTTAGATGGGTATCACAAATCTTTAAATGGGTATGACGGATCTTTAAATGGGTAAGACGAATCTTTAAATGGGTATGACGGATCTTTAGATGGGTATGGCGGATCTTTAAATGGGTAAGACGAATCTTTAGATGGGTTTGACGGATCTTTAAGTGGGTATGACGGATCTTTAAATGGGTAAGACGAATTTTTAGATGGGTATGACGGATCTTTAAATGGGTAAGACGAATCTTTAAATGGGTAAGACGAATCTTTAGATGGGTATGACGGATCTTTAAGTGGGTATGACGGATCTTTAAATGGGTAAGACGAATCTTTAGATGGGTATGACGGATCTTTAAATGGGTAAGACGGATCTTTAAATGGGTATGACGGATCTTTAAATGGGTAAGACGGATCTTTAAATGGGTAAGACGAATCTTTATCTTATCGTCAAAACTAATGGTGTCTTTTCTTCTCAAATATATTCGTAATAAAATGTTGTAATGGATAGATAATTATTTCTTAAAGTTGCTAAAAGGAATGGGTTACACTTTCCCTCCTGCTCCAGGTTTCCACTTGATACAGTTAAGGATCTATACACCTTCTATCTCCGACTTTCAGGTGTGAAATATCCACGTAAAGATCTCCTCTGTTCAGGTCTTATATCTCCACGTAAAGATCTCCTCTGTTTAGGTCTTATATCTCCACGTAAAGATCTCCTCTGTTTAGGTCTTAATATCTCCGACTTTTAGGTGTGAAATATCCACGTAAAGATCTCCTCTGTTCAGGTCTTATATCTCCACGTAAAGATCTCCTCTGTTTAGGTCTTATATCTCCACGTAAAGATCTCCTCTGTTTAGGTCTTCTATCTCCGACTTTTAGGTGTGAAATATCCACGTAAAGATCTCCTCTGTTTAGGTCTTATATCTCCACGTAAAGATCTCCTCTGTTTAGGTCTTCTATCTCCGACTTTTAGGTGTGAAATATCCACGTAAAGATCTCCTCTGTTTAGGTCTTATATCTCCGACTTTCAGGTCTGAAATCTACACGTAAAACATTTCTCTGACTGGTCCTTCTATCTCTGAATTTCATCTGTGAAATCTCCACGTAAAGATTTTTATCTGTCTAGAGTTCTTTCATGATACAAAACATTATTCATTCATCCTAAGCAAGTTCATTGAAATTTCCTGAAGCAGTCCGCTACTTTGTTCGTGGCTGCTAAATTTAACAAACACTGGATTTTCTGTGCCCATCAACTACAAGTAATCACCATTTCCGAATCTTATTTGAAGTAACTCCGAGAATCTGTCCTTGAATGACTGGTTGAAGTTAAGTACAAAGCAACACAATGAATGGGCTATCTGTGCTCTGCCCACCACGGGTATCGAAACCCTGATTCTAGCGTTGTAAGTCCGCAGACACACCGCTGTGTCACCGGGAGGCCTATCCTTGATGAGTTAGCTGTATATTTCTAAAAGTACAATCATTGTAAATCCAATACTTGTACGAAAAAAACACACACACACGCGAGATTAAGCATATAACTGTAGGACCGGACATGATCAGTTTTAAAAATATCTGTCTTATTACAGAGACAATCTTCTACAGAAAATTAGTTTCAGTATTCTTTGTAATAGTACATACTCTCATTTTAAGTTTAATAAAGCCTAAGTTAAAATTACCCTTTCTTAAATACAACTACATTTTTAAAAGAGTTGACTTAGGCAACAATAAGATATTAGTCTTATGTCTTGACAACAAATAGAAACTTAATAGTGATTCTTCTGCCTTCACTACAATACTACAGGTTTTGAATAATATACAATTATATTCATTACAACAGAACCCGAATGTTAAAAATATTACTTTGATAACAACAGATGTTGGATTGTAAATATATTACTTTCTAACCTTCACGGGAATGGTTCCTCGCTCTGAGAACTCCCAATCCATTTCATTCAACCGTTCCTTCGTCTTCTCACTGATGTGTATCTTCAGAGCCTGGAATTCAGGTCAAATCACTACATTATTATCAAATATTAGGGATCGTATCAAGTGTTCACATTTTTCTCAGTTGCTCGGTAACATTTTAGATAATTCAAATTTTGCTATTTTTGGGGAGGGATGGGGAGGATAATTGTTTATGATTTGAACACAACAAACTTGGTGATTTATTAGAAGATCAGACACAGTAAGTTCTTATGATTGTTTAAGAGAATTACGCGACCAACTTCGTACTGTGTTTCTTAGAGACTATAAGAAACGGGTTACAGATGGATCATACAAATGGTTTACGATACTAACGTGCATCGATTGATTTTAGGGTCCATTTCGATCTATTTGAGTTTATTATATAAAACAGCGACTTTCAAACTGACCGAAGAGTCTAATCTTGGACGAAATTTCGTCGTCATTTCCTTTCATGACAATATGTTTGGGGGTAAAACAAACAACTTTAAAAATTTATGTTGTAACACATATTTACTGTAAGTAAAAATTGGATTATGTGATGTATTGATTGTAAAACTGAAAACAATAAGATTTAAAGGACCAGCCACTGGGTAAAGTGTTTCAGACTTTGAAATTGGAACTACTGACCACGAGTAAAGTATTTCAGACTTTGGAATTGGAACTACTGACCACGAGTAAAGTATTTCAGACTTTGGATTTGGAACTACTGACCACGAGTAAAGTGTTTCAGACTTTGGAATTGGAACTACTGACCACTGCTAAAGGGCCAACCATTGAGTAAAGTGTTTCAGACTTTGGAATTGGAACTACTGACCACTGGTAAAGGGCCAACCAGTGAGTAAAGTGTTTCAGACTCTGGAATTGGAACTACTGACCACGAGTAAAGTATTTCAGACTTTGGAATTGGAACT